CTTTCCTGGAGGTACCAAGAAAAAGGCAAAGACCAAAAATAGACAAGACAGATGCATGATAAAAAAAAAAAATCCAACAAGTGGAAATATTCACTCTCATTAGGCTGAAAAACCTAAAACAATGCTACAAACACCCTCAGCTAGTGGTTTTTTAATCCTCTTAACCTACCAAATTGAAACACTTTGTGCCCTTTTAAATTCATGGCCCAAGATATGCGCCGCCACCACCCCAACCTGTAGGGTCCCATAGAATTTCACCCAAGAACAATGACAGCCCAAAATCTCACCAAGTACAACAAAAAATCAGCAATAAAGTTTGTTCTCTCCTTAAATCACAAGGGCACACATTTAGAAAGAACCCAGAAAAAAATTTAGTAGATCTGCTACACCTGAGAGAAGGTATCTCTCAGGTCAATAAGAGGACCAAGTAGAGCCAGAAATATCCAATCTTGGTTAACATGTTATTGGTGCTAACCCTTTGGTGTTTAAGTGGACACCATGAAGCTCTACTAGTTGCTTTAATCATTTGAACATAACAATCTAATTACACAAAAATGCACAGATGTTTTCAGTCAGATTCTTTATTTCCTAAATGCACTATAGCATATAATTTCTACAATTTCTCTTAGACAAGCCTTCAGAAGATAAATTCCTTCTAGTGAAGTGTTTGACATTTTGACCATCTTTAACCCTAAATTAGATGGGCACAAAATTGTTTCTATATTATTTTTGAAAAACACATAAAGCCTTAATCTTTTAATTAAATCAAGGGTTTATTTCTCCTTAATTTCACAGCCATCACTTCCACAGAATTCTACTCCCCTTTGAACCCAGTGTCTTAAAAATTCTTAAAATTCTTAACCCAAGTGAAAGGGTTTATTGGGACAAAGGCAAAGCACACATATAGAAGCAGGGACTGCTTAGCTCAGTTGATTTGTTAACTCACTTCTAACAAAAATTAAGTGAGTTTCTTTACTACAGGACTTTTCTGAGCCTTTGTTACTATACATTATTAGTCTCCAAAAGGAATGTGTAGCATGTGGTGATTCCCAAGCTTATTTCACAAGGGAGTTATTTTTTTATTTCATGCATTACTAATTAGTTTTTAGCAGGAAAGAATATTTTGAGGAACATACTTTGAGAACCACAAGTTAGAATAAGGTGCTAATGAAACCACAAACATAGGTTTAACTTAACCCCAGGTAGTCCGATTAGCCTTTTTTTCTTAAGACCATTAACTACCATGGGTAACCACCTTTAAATACATATCTTTAGAAATACCCTATAAGAACACATAGATGAACCAGCACATATTACATCTTTACAGTAAAAACTCATCCAAAAGTCAGAAGGCGGCTATTTTGCATAAAGGTCAGAATTATGAACAATCCAAGGCCCAAAAAATGTACTACTCTATGCATATTTGAAGATACATCTACCCAATTTGGATACTTTAACCATTAAAATGAAAAGGAAGACTTACCAACAGAAGCTGAGCTTTTAAGAACTGATTCCTTTGAGACTCCTTTTTCAATTCGTAACGTGGCCCACTGTTCAAAAACAACAAGTATTAATGTAAACTGTGCCACAGACACAATGCAAGATATTTAAACCATGCTTATATAGACATGAAATTAATCATTAAACCCTGGTGTTATGTAAATTGACGAGATACCCCACTGAATCTCTGATATAATAGTATTCCAAATCCCAGGTATATACTCTTATACTAGTTACTGGTAATGCCCAAATAAAAGGAGGAAAAGATCATGTTTACCCTATTAAAAAACCCTCACACACACCTGGTACCCCAATAAATTACTCCTTGGAAAGGTCAGAAAGCATGAAGGGCAAGAGCACAGACTATGGCATCAAGTCTATCTGGGTTTAAAATTACTTAATCCTTCTCAGCCTCAGTTTCCTCATCTGTAAAATGAGGATAATAGTTCCTATTCCATAGGGCTGCAATGAAGATTAAATGAGATTAACACATGTAAAGACATAAACACAGGGCACAAAGAATATTATTTTCATAAGAAATTAGGCATTCAAGGATGAGACACACTCAAAGATGCCTAATTGCCTGTATCAGACAAAAGCTTTCAAAAGGAGCAGCGTGAGACTTGGAAAGCTGGAAAGGAATCCATGAAGTCACTAACTAAAAAGACATCTGCCAGGAGATTGGGATTGACATGTACACACTACTATATATAAAATAGATAACTAATAAGGACCTACGTATAGGACAGGGAACTCTAGTCAACACTCTGTAATGGCCTATGTGGGAAAAGAATCTAAACAAGAGTGGATATATATATATTACTGATTCATTTTGCTGTACAGCAGAAACTAACGCAATATTGTAAATCAACGATATTCCAATAAAAGTTTTAAAAACAAACAAACAAAAAGTTAAAAAGACATCTGGGGGCTCCCCTGGTGGCACAGTTGAGAATCCGCCTGCCAATGCAGGGGACACGGGTTCAAGCCCTGGTCCAGGAAGATCCCACGTGCCGTGGAGCAACTAAGCCCAAGAGCCACAACTACTGAGCCTGTGCTCTAGAGCCCACGAGCCATAACTACTGAGCCCACATGCTGCAACTACTGAAGCCCGCACGCCTAGAGGCTGTATTCCGCAACAAGAGAAGCCACCGCAATGAGAAGCCCGCACACCGCAACAAAGAGTAACCCCCACTCGCCTCAACTAGAGAAAACCCCGCGCACAGCAACAAAGACCCAACGCAGCCAAAAATAAATAAATAAATAACTTAATTTTTAAAATCTCTCTATATATTATCTAGATGCCTACAATTCTAGAAGCTAACAATGTCTAAATTGACCTTATTTGGGGAGGTGGGAGAAGAGCAAAAGAAGAGGTAAAAGGCACGATAATTATAATTACGACTTAGGCACTCTTGAAGGGGCAAAAAGACAGAATTTATTAAATCCGTCAAGGCAAAAACCTCAGCTGTTGCTGGGCTTGAAGGGCTCAAGCAGAGAGGTAAACATTTTTTCTCAAATAAATAAGAAAATAAGTAGTAGAGAATAAATAACCTAAAACATGTACACGAAGGTCAAGGAGCAAAGCATGATCTGACTACGTCAGGACCCCTGCACAACATCCCAAAGAGCAAAGTAGGAACATGCCATGGGTGCTTAGGAAACAGCCTATGAATAGAGGCTTAATCTTCCCAGCTTCAAGTGGCAAGTCACAAATGATAATAGGCTCCGAGTCTTAATCTGGTTGCGTCCTTTTCTCTTCCTTGCTGATCTAGGCAGGAATTCTCAAACTCCGGACTTTACCTCCCATCTCTTCTCAATAGAGGTAAAGGTTTATTTCCACAGTTTTTCACTTTAAAGCCTTGTTACCTATTATCAGTTGTAAGGAGACCTAAGACATGATTAAAATAAAACTTCGTCAACAATCAATCATCCTTATCCTGGAGCTCACTTTTTTCATTGTGGGCATGTGATTTTATATTTTATATAAATGGTAATTACCTTAGACTAGAACAATTAGTCCATGCTTATAAGATGGAAGACGTTGGTATTCTTTGGCTATTATGGGCTGAACTGTGTCCCACACAAAGCACCCCAAAAATTCATGTGTTGAAGCCCTAACGCCCAGTGCCTCAAAATGTGACTATATTTGGAAACTGGGCCTTTAAAGAGGTGACTCAGTTAAAATGAGGCCCTTAGGGTGAGGCCCTAATCCGGTATGACTGGTGTCCTTATAACAAGAGGAATAGAACCAGAGTCATGTACAGAGAAGACAGACCATGTGAGGTCACAGCAAGACAGCACCATCTAAAGCTAAGGAGAGAGCCCTCAGAAGAAACCAAAGCTGCTGACACCTTAATTTTGGACTTCTATCCTCCAACACTGTGAGAAAACAAATTCCCATGGTTTAAGCCACCCAGTCTATGGGACTTTGTTATGGCAGCAAACTAATATGGGGGCATTCCTCCAATAACATCATGTGCTCCAAAGGGCTCCCTGTGCCATCATCAGAAGTTTCAGAAGAGAGACCCTCTCCTGAAATGCCAACTCTGAGGTCTATCCTCCAAAATGTAGTTACAATGTTCAAGATTAGCAAGTTTTAAGGTCGGAGGAGAAGTCACTTAATGCCAAAAGGAATTTGTGCTGGAAAACGGTTTTCTTCTTTGGGCTAACTCTCCAGTGAAAAATGACCAAGTGCCTATGCTCTGCAGCTGGACAGACAGAAGTCCACGTGAACCGCAGTTCTGCCACTTCCTTGCTGTAATCATCTCAGACAAGACTTTAACCTCCTGGGGTCTAAGTTTCATCATCTCTGAACAATACCAAGGGTTGTTGTAAAGATTAAAGGAGATAATCTATCCAATGACCATCACACAATCGGCCACAAGGTAGAAAAATGTTGGCTTTCTCCTCCCTCCCTACATCTATATAGGTGCCAAAATGATCAGTTTGTTTTCCAGACCATCAGTGCATCTCCCAATAAATAGCTATTTCTCTTTCACCATGCCAGCTTCTCTAGCTGATCAGGTAAGCCCAAATACAGAGGAAGAATATCTCTTTAGAGGTTCTAAATCTCTTGAGGTATCTCAGGACACATCTACCTCAAGGCACCAGGAAAGATGCAGCTCTGTCTGCAAAGGGCCCTGAAGATAGCAGCTTCGAACAATCCTGGCTACCACTCCCCATCTCACTACCCCTACCAAGAAGGGTGACAACTTTTAATCCGGTTTTCACCCCCACTTAATTTCAAAATCCTCTTGGAAGAAAATAAGTAGCTGTCCACAATTCACCAAAATAAAGGGTTAAGTATAATTTTTAAAGCTTAGGCCAAAAGCTTGCAAGAACGAGACACTGTCACCTAGACAATTCAACTTTCAGTTTTCACACTAAAAAGACATTTAAGAATTGACTAAATAGAGGGAAAGAAAAAAAGGAAAAATATATAAAATTATATAAAAATTCAAAATATTAGGCTTACTCAAATAATAGCTGGCCATCATCTGTAGCAAAATAAAAGTTATCTCAGCAGTCTGTCATCTTAGCAGAGTAGAACTGAGGCTCTAGATTCAGATTAAAATCCTGATTCTACCACTGACAGCTGTATACCACTGTCCAGACAAATCACCTCTGAACCTCCATTCTCCAGTCTATCAATGGGAATAATAACAGACCCTAACCCAGGGAGGTGCTGTAGAATTAAGTTATCTGAAAAGCATATTGCTTTGGTAGCTTTTCTTTATTATTACTTTCTGTCATAAAGAGTCATGGCCTTCTAGCAGATTTATTATATTTCCAACACCAGGGATAATACCTGAGTGTTATAATAAGAGGTGTTTATCATCTGAAAATTATTGACCTGCCTTTTTAAAATGACGGAAAACTAATTGGTGGATGGAGGAAATGGTAAGGGAAAGAACAATAACTAAAATAAAAGGCAGGAGTAAGCTGTTCTGAGTATGTATGTGTGCTGACCCATCAAAGATCTGAAGGTAGGTTAAATCTTAGCCACACAGGAGCAAAAAAAAACCCAAAAAAACACAACCAAAGAGTGTTCCAATTCAAACTCCACTAAGATTTGAGCACCTACTATGTATCAAGTGCTTTTATTCACCTCTCTTCATTTAATCTGCACAATAACTCTGTGAGGCATATTCCTGTATACACATGTAGAAACTAAGGTGGAGATGTTGAGTGATCTGCCCAAGGTTACAATGCCAGAAATTTGGAGTAAGTTGTTCATGCATCCAACTTATTCCTCAAAAGTTGAGGGGAAAATCGGTCCATTAACATTTATCTTCTCTGTCTATTGTTTGTATTATCTGGTTAGATTAGATAATTTACATATCATTCCCCTGCCTTCTTCTCCATCAATCCTATATTCTCTTCCCATTCTTTATTTCCCTCTATGAACCTTAGGCCAATGAATAGCAATCCTCAGGTCAATCAATAGGAAGCATCATTAACCTTGCAGGGTTGAGAACAGCATATTTCAACGTTTAATCCATGCTCCTGTTTGCTAAACATAAAAAATTCACACACACTCTCCCAGAGATTCAGATATATACATCCCACCATGCAGATGGACTACCATTTACAAATCCTCTCAGACAAAAGTTTTACTTTTCATGGTTTGTATTCCTAAAACAATTTTCCCCAATATACTGCTACCATATTGGCATATATACTCCTAAGAAATTGTTATATACCCCCTTGAAAATCACTGGTTTGGAGAATCACTACACTTACTCTAGGCTAAGAATTCAAGCCTTACCCTCAAGCAGCTAGCCATATATCAGGGACTTATGAACACATCTAGAGCTATTCAGCAATACCGAAGGCAACATTCAGTAGGTACTCAATAAATAACTATTACCTGAACTGATGAGCTAAGAAGGGGCCCAAGAAGAGCATATAGCCGGCTGAGTTACTTGACAATTAGCAGTTACCGCAGTCAGCTATTCTGAAGGTACCCCACACACATTGCAACTTCCAGAATTTGAGTTTATGATCACAAAAAATCTACCCATTGTCAAGAAAACTTATCAAAGTAAACACATCATGTACCAAACTAAATGACCTTTTAAAATGGTGTGTAGGGGCTTCCCTGGTGGCGCAGTGTTTGAGAGTCCGCCTGCTGATGCAGGGGACACGGGTTCGTGCCCCGGTCCGGGAAGATCCCACGTGCCGCGGAGCGGCTGGGCCCGTGAGCCACTGGCCGCTGAGCCTGCGCGTCCGGAGCCTGTGCTCCACAACGGGAGAGGCCACAACAGTGAGAGGCCCGCGTACCGCCAAAAAATAAAAAAATAAAATGGTGTGTAAATTGTAACCAAGGAAACCTGTGAAATAGCTAATTCCAATCAAAGAGCCCAAAGAATATTCTTGGGACTGGAATGCAAAAGAAAGAAAGAAGCAAATCAGTTGAGAACATACTAAAGAATAATGAGTAGCAGAAGGGCTGGGCCTTGAATGGACTCTACAAAAAGGCAGGGTATGTTTCCAGATCTAAAGATGTTCTAATATTAAACAACCAGCACACTTTTTAAGAGAATTATCCCCATAGTTGGCAAAAAAAAGCAATCCACTGTACCAACCTCTGCTTAACAGAAATGTCTCTGAAACATCTAATGTTGTTCTGGTTAGAGGATGGAAAACCCTGGGTTGCTATCTCCCTCTCCTGTGCCTAAAGCAGATATCGCTATGAAATGATAGCTCTTTCCTGAGGGGCCCAGCTGCTTCCAAAAACAGGCACTCCAGGCAGCTACCCCCAAGTCAGAGTTGGCTCACAAAATGAATCCCCATTCTAATTCCATATATGCCAAGCATCTCTCTGACCTAATAAGTTTGGTCTGAGCTAAGAGGATGGTTCCTTATGCTGCCATCTACCTGGTTTCCAAGCTAGGTGGTGTATCTCCCACTATAATTAGAAAACTAGCATTCTTGAGAGTTTGATTAACAAGGAGTGCACCTCTAAGTCTCTTCAAGTCTAGATGGACAAAAATTAAAACTTGAGGCCCTGCCACACTGAAGCCAGACCCTGGGCTGGAGACATCCCTTCCAAGTATAATAGTTATTTGCCAGGCTAACAGCAACTAGCAGGCTTCTCTCCTTGACATCTCTTTAGCTGTATCCTGACTTACTCAAGCAAGCATATAGGAGTCAGCACCTGGAAGACAGGGTGTGCAACTTACTTTACTCTATCCTCACTTGGGGTATCAATTCCCAAAGACATTGCTACATGGGAGAACAGTTCAATCGTTTCAGTTCTGAGAAAGAGTGAACACCAGCTGAAGAGGATCACCTGCTACGGGGAGAGTATTCTGAAGATCTAACAGTAAGAGGCAGCTAAGAAATTCACAGTAGAGTGTGACCAAGTTCAGAGTGTGACGTCAACAAGATAAGTTCAAGACTGTGAACTATCTCCCAAGTAGAAACAACAGAACTCTTAAAACATGAGGGCTGAGGATGAAGAATCAAATATAACTTCAAAGACTAGACAGAAAAATAGTCACAAAGAGAAGTACAACAAAAATGTGGGGTAAAACAGGAGATAAGCAGGTAGAATAGATTTGCAGGAGATGAGCTGGTGGGAGATCTGCTGGTAATCTCCAGGTAAGAGATAAAAGATTAGAGATGTATATCTGGGAGCCACCCTCCTGCCTGAAGGAGAAGTGCAAATAAAGCCTCGCCTGGGGGCAGACATAGAATAAGGGCAGAAAACTGCGAACCCGTATTAGAAGGTACTTTAGTAGTTACAGAAACAAGGATGCTAGAATCTAAGTAATAATATTATTACTTTATTATTACTTGAATAATAAGAATAATATTATTCTTTTAATAGCAGCAAACACATACAGATACCATTCTAGGATGCTTGACATATTTTAACTCACTTAATCAACCCTATGGAAATAGTTGTTATTGTTACTCCTATTTTATAGATGAGGCAAATGAAGCAGAAGTAGGTGACTTCCCTGTGGTCATATACTGAGAAGCAGAGCTGGGATTTTGGTACCAAATCAAAGAAAATCTGCATCCGAAGTCTGCACTATTAACCAATAGCTGCAGGCCCTCTCCTCAGTTAAGACTCCTGTCTCCACCACTTCAAGCAAACCACTGAACTTCTCAGTCTCAGTTTCCTTACCTGTAAAAGGGGGAATAACACTTGCTCTCCCTACCTTCCAAGGCTTTGGGGAGCATCTGATGAGAGGATCAACAGGGAACCCTCTGTGATTTAATAAAGCCCTGTATTAAGGGTAAGCTGTAGTTGTTCCCCATCAGGCCCACTTAGAGTTGAGGTCAAGGAATATAGATTTTCAATGACCTTTCAAGTGCCATTGGTTAGATTCAATTTCCATGACTCTGTTAAAATATAATCAGACTTCTTTCTACCATCCAGCAATTGGTTTCTTATATTGAGTATACACTAGAACATGATGCCTTTCTGGACAGGATGCCTTAGTCCACGAAAGGACCTCTGAAACCCGGGGCTGTAAAAACTAAGGACACTGAGGTGACAGCTGCCCCGCAGAAAGGATATAAAGAAATTCGGTAATAGAAAAGGCGGTTGCATTGATATTCTGATCAGTAAAATTCATAATAACAACAGCAGGGGGTGGAGGTAATTCTGCCTTTAACCACAGCAACAACAGGGTGGTCCAGTGGTTTTAGTCCGAATCCCTCCAGCTCTGCGGGAGAGGAGGGATGCAGCCGCGAATAAACTAAAACGCACATCCCTCCGGACCACTGACTTTCCTCGCTGGTCCCCTCGCGTCTACTCGGCGTTCAGCTCTACCTTCGTTTCGCATCGCCCCAGGATCTCCCTAAAGCCCTCGGAGGAGGGGCCGCGGCATGCCCCCATGCACTCACCTCTAAAGTTTTCACCAGGATCTTCATGTAGAGCTCGGAGATGCCCAAAGACACCCCAAAGGCCGAAGGCAGGAGTATGAAGCCGAGCACCAGAGTTAGCCAGGTGTAAACGATCTTCCCGGCCAGCTCCGCGCTATCCATGGCTCGGCGCACCCAGAAGGGGTCCACGGAGGAGGTCCGAGCGCGACAGCTTTCCCTGTCCCCAGCTAGTCGGTTGGCAGCTCCGGGAGCAGAGGTGCGGGGCCCGGCTCCCCGGAGTCAGCGCCGCCGCCGCCTGCCACTCACCTCTGCAGGGAAAACAAGAGAGGACGGGAAAAACTTTCAGGAGGACAGCAATTTCCTTCCTCTTCGGGCTCCACCTCGCCGCGGCCGGCTGACTCTTTCTCGGCTGGAGGCCCAGGCCCCCTGCTGCCGCTTGCGCAGACCTGGTAGCGCCCGCCAGGCGACCAGGGCTGGGGGTGAGCGTGGAGACACGCGAGCGCAGCGGGGAACGTGTCCCACCCTGTGCCTGATTTCAGTTGGGTGGTGATTGGGACAACTCAGCGTTGAGTCACGGAGGCCCTCCCGGAACGAGGATCCCTGCGGCGCCCTGCACCGCACCACCTCACACCAGCCGCTGGCGGAACTGACGCCTGGTCCAGGACTGCGCTGCTGGTGGGCTGGCTCGGACGCCCAGCGCCCAATTTCTGCACCCTGCCCTCGCCCCACCTCCTCCGCCACCCAACGGGGAGCTTCTAGTAGGGATCTGCACGGAAAGCGCCGCAGCCTCCCGGGCGGCCTCCAGTCTTCCCCGCGCCCCGCCTCGCCAGCACTCCCAGCTGAGGTTCTTCAGGGAACAGAGTTTTCATCTGCAACACGCTAGAATTTTCTCAGCCCCGCAATGAACTACTGACGTGTCCGGAACGCTTGAGAAGGTCCTGCTTGCGTGTGTGTAAAACGACCTCTCGGCAGGGCTGTCTAGGGGAGGGAAATGCCCGCGGCGCTGCTCAGCTGCGGCTTCCTCCGCTTCCAGGTCTCCCACTCCCTTTCCTCCCTCCTCCTTCCCCTCCCTACTCTATGGAGCTGCCGGGCGAGATCTTACTCTTCCTGAAAGTGGAAAGTTCTCTCCACGAGTCGCCTTCCCGGCTCAGCCGCCGTTCCCTTGGCACAGAAATCCTTCCGCCGAGGGTCGCTCTCTTCCTGCGGCAAGATTCCAACTACAGTTTCCCCTACCTTTCACCCAGCACTATTCTCACAGAAGCCACAGAAAAACACCAGGACGCCGCAAGCTTCATCCAGCTGACGCGCGCTTCCAGGGAATTCAGTGCCCACATCGCTGCCTCGTTAGCCCTTCTTAGAACAGTAAAGGGCAAAAAGCTTGTGCGGGTATTTCCTTCACTGCGGTTCCTGCCTCTTAGAAACCTGATCTGTTTTTAAGAGTAAGCATAAGAAGGGATGTTGAGATGTAGTAGATAAGGAAATCAGTCTCCCAGCGTTTCCAGATCGTCACTGAATGGGACCAAAATCTCGTACAGGTCTCTTTCGCGTGTAATTTCAAGCTAGAAAAACTGGGACGGCAAGCAAACTGAATTCAAAGAGTGTTGACAACAAATACTGCGAAAGAGGCTGCCTCGGCCCAGGGTTTGGAGGAAATGGAGAGCGGAAGAGAGGAGAACCCCCTGCAAAGAATGTAAATGTTTGGCTTCTGCACCTCCTGCAAGGCAGGTATCACAACTCCTTACCCCACTAGGAAGGGGAAAAAAACTGTAACTTGGTCCTAAAAACCAAGCTGAGAATTTTGAGGCGCTTGGCTTCTCAAAATTAAACCTCTTCATAGTCTGCCATTTTACGAAAACAAACAACAACAAAAAACCACACATGCCAAAATTCGTCCAAAGTCTTTGCTGGAAACAAACACATATTTAGCACAAAACCTCAAAGATTATATTGACTCATTTAACACCATACATTCAGGCAAAGCTCTTACCCTCCTTTTATTTCCTCAAAGGAAGATGACTAAGGAATACTGAATGATTGTACCAAAGTTTACCCAGCAAGTCTCAGTGCAGGTAATTTCGTTTAAGGATGGCCTTTTTTCTGCCCATCCAGACAGAGGAGCTGAGTGCCCACAGTCTCCAATGATTTCTTGTTGCTCACAACCAAATTTCATGAACGAGGTTTGCTTCTTTGGTTTTGGTTTTGGTTCATTCTTTATGTAAGAATTATTGTCCCATAAAGGACTTCCCTGGTGGCACAGTGGTTAAGAATCCGCCTGCCAATGCAGGGGACACGGGTTCGAGCCCTGGTCCGGGAAGATCCCACATGCCGCGGAGCAACTAAGCCCGTGCGCCACAACTACTCAGCCTGCGCTCTAGAGCCCACGAGCCACAGCTACTGAGCCCATGTGCCACAACTACTGAAGCCCGCATGCCTAGAGCCCGTGCTCCGCAACAAGAGAAGCCACTGCAATGAGAAGCCCATGCACCGCAACGAAGAGTAGCCCCTGCTCACTGCAACTAGAGGAAGGCCGTGCCAGCAATGAAGACCCAATGCAGCCAATAAATAAATAAATGAATAAAAATTTTAAAAAGAAAAGAATTATTGTCCTATAACGGAATGGTGGAATGGTAATAATGTGGAGTCTGAAGTCTTAGACTGACTCCAGACTGACACAGACACCTGTACGTTTGAACAATTCATTCAGTCTTCTGTGCTTCACCTTTGTCATCAGTAAAATGGATTCTTTTTAGGGTCAAATGTGATTATGAGTTTGAAATTGCTCTGTTAAGGACAAAGCTCTGTGCAGACATCGAAGGCAGCATGCAAGTGTAAAAGCTCTCCACCTTTCTTTTTTTTTTCGGCTGCGTTGAGTCTTCGTTGTTGCACGTGGGCTTTCTCTATGGGGAGCAGGGGCCACTCCTCATTGCCATGTGCGGGCCTCTCACTGTGGTGGCCTCTCCCGGCACAGATCACGGGTTCCAGCCACTCGGGCCTCAGTAGTTGCAGTGTGCGGGCTTCAATAGTTGCGGCTTTCAGACTCTAGAGCACAGGCTCAACAGCTGTGGCACACGGGCCTAGTTGCTCCTTGGCATGTGGGATCTTCCCGGACCAGGGCTCGAACCCACGTCCCCCGCATTGGCGGGCAGACCCTCAACCACTGCCACTGCGCCACCAGAGAAGCCCAAGCTCTCCATCTTTATCTCACCTAAAACACAGGAGAGCCAAGATAGGTTCATCTTTGCAGTGATGAGGGAGGGAGAGGGAAGAAGTAATGGTGGTGATCCCCAGGCTCCCTTTCACTCATCTCACCTGCCCTTTTTTGCACACCTTAAGCCTCTTTCATTTAAACCTAGGAAGGATCCTCCCTCCCTTCCTGCACTTACAACTTCCTTCACTGTATTAGTTTCCTAGGGCTGCCATAACAAATTACCACAAACTTAGTGACTTTAAACAACACAAATTGATTCTCTCAGTTCTAGGAGCCAGAAGTCTGAAATGGAGGTGCCTACAGGGCCAAGCTCCCTCCAAAGGTTCTAGGGGTGAATCCGTCCTTGCTTCTTACAGCTTCTTGGGTAGCTACAAGTGTTGCTTGGCTTGTGGCAGCATACTCACTGCCTCAGTCTTCACATGGTGCCTTTTCTTCTTTTATCTTATGAAGACACTTATCACCCTGGATTTAGGGCCCATTCTAATGCAGGATGATTTCATCTTGAGATTTTTCACTTAATTATACTTAATCTGCAAAGAATTTTTTTTTCCAAATGAGGTCACATTCACAGGTTAGGAGTTGGGCATATCTTTTAGGAGGCTACAGTTCAACCCCCCTACTCTTACCATATCTGTAAACTGGGGATAATAACACCTACCTGGAGAGGTTGTTATTGGGACTTGAGATTATACATTTAAACTTTAGCTGATAGTATATACTCAATAATGAGGTTGTTCGAGACAATCCTGTTTTTCACCTGTTGTCCTGGCAGCGTCTATTTCTCTCTCTGTCTTTCTTCAAACGCAAAGTGCACCTACCTTGAGTACATGTATGCATCTGTTGAGACGTGTCCAGCCAGGATGTCAGCCTGTGGAGCCCAGGATGGGCCTGTGGTGGGAGCGGGCCAGGTGTGGCTTGGCGGAGTGTAGGTAGGCCAGATGGCTTAGTTTGGAGGGAAAGGAGAACCTAAAAATTTCTCAGTAACGTTTATATTGATTATATATATATATATTTGTTTTGTTTTGTTTTGTTTTTTGGCTGCATTGGGTCTTTGTTGCTGTGTGCAGGCTTTCTCTAGTTGCAGCGAGCAGGGGCTACTCTTTGTTGTGGTGTGCGGGCTTCTCATTGCAGTGGCTTCTCGTTGCAGAGCACGGGCTCTAGGCGCACAGGCTTCAGTAATTGTGGCACACAGGCTCAGTAGTTGTGGCTCGCAGGCTCAGCAGTTGTGGCTCGTGGGCTCTAGAGCACAGGCTCAGTAGTTGTGGTGCCCGGGCTTAGGTGCTCCACGGCATGTGGGATCTTCCAGGACCAGGGATCGAACCCATGTCTCCTGCATTAGCAGGCGGATTCTTAACCACTGAGCCACCAGAGCAGTCCCTGGCATATATTTTTAATGATGCTTCCTTTCACTCTCAAAAATGTCCTGGTTTGAGTGAAAAATCACATGGTTCCCTCATTCTTACATAATTTCTAAGATCCCTTCCAGTCTTAAAATATTAGGCTTTTGATAAAACTGTCAAGTCCATGCATGACCCCTTGTCAACATCTGAGGCCAAATGAAGCTGTATAGGAGAATGAAGAAGAGGGATTAGCAGGCAGTCCAGAGCTTCTCAAACTCTAAAGTGGGTAGGAATCCCTGGGGCTCCTGGGATTGAAGATTCTTCCTAGGGCTGGGATGGGGTCTGAGATTCTGCCTTTCTAGGAGCTCCCAGGTGATGTTTATGTTGTTGATGTACAGACACACCTTGAGTAGCAAGCCCTTAGAGTTTGGACAAGAGGGGAGTTTTATATTTAACTGATGACAAAAGGCCATGGGAAAAACAAACATACGGTTACCAAAGGGGAAAGGTGGGAGGAGGGATATATAGGAGTTTGGGATTAACAGATACACACTACTATATATAAAATAGATAAACAACAAGGACCTACTGTATACCACAGGGAACTATATTCATTGTCTTGTAATAACCTATAATGGAAAAGAATAGAATATGAAAATATATATATATTACTGAAACGCTTTGCTCTACACCTGAAACTAACACAACATCGTTA